TGAGGTAGGGCAAGAGGATTGCAAGTGTGAGACCAGCCTGGGAAATTTAGTGAGACCCTGTCTATTACCTCTACCTCTACTGCTGCTGCTGCTGCTACTACTACTAAATAGACTGGGGATGTAGCTTAGTGGTAGAGCACTTGCTTAGCTTAGCATTCAAGAGAATCTGGATTCAGTGACTGCTACAAAAATAAGTACCATTTAAGGAAGCTTAGAAAGCTAAACAAGTCTATCTAATCAGTACAACAGGCCAATAAAGTGGCTATCAATTTCACAGATGATGTAAATAAACCTTAGAGAAACAAAAGGATTTTAATTGAAAACCATTAGTTAGTGACAACATCAAATTTGAACTCATGAGTATGATTCTATAGTGGCTGCTCTTAGCCACTCTGCTATTTTGTGCATCTGGAGTACTTTCTTTTGCCTTTGTTCTTTGAATCACTGAAACTTCATTTAAACCCAAAGAATGAGGGCAACTTTTCAAATCAGTTCTCCCAGTTAGGGCTATCTGAGCCCAGACTTCCCATGGGAAGTCTCAGATCACTCAGAAGCTGCCAGCAATCCCTAAGCTTGTCACTCAAGCCTAGCTACATCATTTACTAACGCGTGTGTGCATGCATACACAGAGATGAGGGGAGGGGGGATGTATGCGGGAGACCTTGCTAGGATCAGTTAGTAGCAACAGAGCCTATGCCTTCCCCAGCATACTTGGGAAACTCTGAGTCTTCATACCCACAGGGGTCTCTCTAGCACTCTGGCCTGGAAACATGCGCAGAGGTGTTTGCTAGGTGGTTTTCCATAGGGAGAATGCCTAGCGCCAGACCATCACGGCTGTTTCAGCACCATGGTCAGGGGCGCGTCGTTAGCCGGGCTAGCGCCGGCTCAGTTGGCTCAGTTAGCCTTGGCCCACGTATCTCGGAATCCCAGGCGGCAGACTGGAGCTGAAGGTTGACCAGAAGTCGGGGCGTGGTCGAGGCGCAATGGAACCTTTTGGCCTTACAAGAACCTCCAGGACCACGCTTGAGTCAAAGCCCATATGACTCGCCCCCCCCCGCACCTCCGCCATCTGTGGACAGAATAAAGAACACCGAACTGCTTATCTTAAGAGTCAGGGTCCCAATTCCAGTTTGCTCCGATTAGTCACCAAGTAATTGAGGACCTTGGGCAAGTCATTTATTTCCCGACTTTGGGTCTTTGTTTCCATGAGTGTGGTGTGGTGGCTCTGCCTGTCCACCTCACTGATTGTACAAGGATGCCTGAGAAGTAAGCTGACATTCGGGAGACCTGTCCGTGCGTCTGATCTCTTGAAGGAGGGGTAGACAGGCGTCGGCCCCGCCCCCTTTCTTGAGCAGTGGTCTGCAGCAGTTTTAAAACTGGGGAGGGGGGAAAGGAACACAAGGGATACTATTAATTACATATTCACAACGTAGAACATTAATTACAAGAGCGTAAAAATATAATTTCGTTTACTCAGCGCTTAGTTAGTGCCCCATTTTTAGTCTAACATCCCCCACTTCCCTACACTATCCCCAGCGCCAGGGACTGAGGGGCGTTTTCCATTGCTGATCGTGGTCGGGGGCTGTAACTTCATTCACTGCAAGCACTACTTCCTCTTAGAGACCTAGGACTCCTAAGGAGGGGTTTTAGGAACTCCCTCCAACTTCTCTAGTGAATTAGCTGAGTCTCAGAGACTTGTCCAAGGTCTTACAGCCAGCAGCCAGTGGGGGAGGGGTGCACCCGGCCCCGCCTGCCTTTGTGCCAGCCCAGCGTCCAGGCTCCCAGACATTAGCATTCCAATGGCCCCGGGACGCTTTGTCCCGGACCGAGGCTGGCTGGGAGGTGGGGTGGAATGGGGGCAGGGCACCATAAATCTACCTGCTTGTGTGTGCCGACGGGGTTGGCCAGGGGGGACGAGGGGTGGGAGGTGCAAGATTCATGTGCTTTTTCTGGAAACCAGGCTTGGGCTCAGACAAAGGCAGAAGAGAGGCGAGAGTCATTCCACCAAACGCTCTTTCCTACCCGCGCTTGGGATCCTGTCCGGGTTTCAGGGACTTGGAGAGCAGAAGGCGACCTCAGACCGGAGGAGGATCCTCATTCAAAGAAGCGCTTGCGGAGGGAGTAAAATCGATCTCCCAGCCGAGTCGTCCAGCAGCCTTGACTGGTTTTAAAATCCACTGAACGTAATATCACCCGGGAGGTGGTGGGCGTGGGGGTGAAGGTGCCAGGCTAGTGGCACCTGCCACTCGGAAATGTTTCCGAGCCCTCCTTGCTTAGGGACTCTTTGGAAAGGGCCCTGGAGGATGTTCCCAACCTCAGCGCAGTTCCACACACGTTGATGAATCGTTCAGGCACAGAACTCTAAATTTTGCAGGGATTATACCAAACCCTCACCCTTCGGATTTGAAAAGTAGGGCAGATAGTTGTTGAGTCAATGCCCCCGGCCCAAGGTTCAGCGGCAGAGAATCATACTGGGGGTTTGTGTATGTGCTCGAGGCCCACACACGCGCCTGTGTTTTAATTCGTGGGGCAGAAGGCAAGTCTGTGTGCATTGGGTGACTAATAGCTCCTTAATGAATGCCCTGGAAAGCAGGAGAGCACACAGTGGTTGCACCCCAGCTCGCCTAGGTGCAGCTAGCTGGAGGAGCTCACCCAACACTTGTCCAGTTTAAAAAGGTCGTTCGTACCAAGGGAGTCCCCAGCCTAGATGAACACTACTTCTCAGAGACCTGCACAGAAAGAAGGACTTTCTGCTTGAAACATTCCTCTTCACATTTTTTGTCCTGATCCAAACACACCTCCTCTGGCAAGCTTTCTGCAATTCAGCCCCATCCTCCATTTGTGGCTTCTACCTCCACATAGCACCAATATTTATTTGGTCTTAAATTATTTTGTCTCTACCCATGGGAGGACAGAGAGCTTCCTGCTTTTTATGTCTGCCTACACCCCTTCCCCCAGTACCCAACAAATAGCAGCCTTTGCTTGGTCTGTGCAACAGGGAACTGCTGACACCCCGCACCCCTGCCCCATGCCCCAGGTGGAAAGTTGGCTGCTGCAGAAGTCATCAAGAACCCATTAATCTCCTCCTCCCAGATTAAAGTCATGAAATGAAACAACGCTCTGTTCATTCGTTTGTTTGCAGCATCCCCTTTCCTGCCCCCAAATCCTGCCCCTGATAACTGAGACAGCTCCTCCTTTAAAGCTACCTTTAGAGACTTGGAAGTTGAGGCAAGGAAAAGTTCAATTTAAAGGGCAAAGGAGAGGGAGACATACACAAGAAGTGTTAACTCCTGATAAGCCACCACCTTTGAGTTCTAAGGTGCTGGAAAGAGACCTAGCCACAGCTCCTGGTCTCTGGCAGGGCCACCTCAACCTGAGTTGGTCCCATTTCTTTCCAGGATCCCCTGATGACCCAAGGGAGGCCTCTGGGGTTCAACTAGCAGGTAGGGTTCCTGCCCTCCATTTTTCTGTTCCCAAGTTGCAGACAGATTCTGAGGATTCTTAGACTTTAGACCAGCTTCCCTGAGAAACCAGGGACCCCAACTCCATGAAGGTACACTCCACTAGTGAGCGACCTCAAGACAGTTTCAGTATGTGAGGAACCAGCCCTATTACACGGATTACATCTCTTGGTAGTAAGAGATCACTTGACTGGAAACCGTGACCACTTCCCTGAAAAAAATTTCAATCTAGGTTGCTGGTGTTTGAGGCATGCCAAAGATTTCAGCCGCACTCGCCACCTTCTCTGATGGCAGCTGCTAGGGTGAATGAGTGGAGGCGTCACAGACCCAGCAATTTTGGAAAACTCCTGGGACGCCCAGCCTGGCTCCTGTATTTCTGAGGACTCCAATTCACAAATTACTCTCTGCCTTCCCCAAGTGGGGAGTCGCTCTAAATTCAGGCTGATGAAGTGGGAGACACAGCATGCTGTGTAAGTTGAAGATTTGTCTTCTAAACCTTTGTTTGAAATAGGACAAGTCGCTGTTTTTATAAAGACAACAAGAGGGCGGCACCAATGATTCCTTAAGAGACTTCCAGCCTGCAGTTGAGCACTCAGGGGAGGGGCCCCAGACTCCCAGAAAGATTTTCAAGAACAGAAGCGCCCGGAACTCAGGCGCAGTAGCTACCCTCCCCTCCTCGCTGCACAATCCAGTCACTCGCTGAGACTTCTTGAGGGTCCATCTTTTATTGGCTCAAAGTCTCATTCACCAGTCCCTAATACTCTTATGTACAACATATAGACTTTCCCCGCCATGAAATTTCATCAATAAATACACATGTGTAAAACAGGGGAGGGAATATATAATTTACCATAACAAATCATTACCAAAGACATTATATAATTTACAAACTGATTCTAAAACAGAAGAGACGCGCAGCGCTTCAGGCACCTGCAGCGCTGCCCACGTTTCAGACGCACCACGCAGAGAAGCTGGGGAGGTGCTCCAGGACGCCGGCTAGGCTTTCCCAGTTCGCAACCAGGCTCCGGGAGGGCAATGGCTCCGAAAAGTGCAGGAGGAGAAGGCGGAAAATTGCCTTCGTGGATTAAGGCAGAATGGAGCGTCCCCAAAACCTCGGACTTAGAATAGGGAAAGTCAGCAGCGTCTTTGGAGCAGGATGAGGGACCAAGCACTGAGATCAAACATTGGATTAAATCGCATTATAGGAGGGTGGTAGGAGACAGACGGAAAGGCAGACAAACAGACTTGAATTAGAGAAGGGTGGCCAGATTGTGAGTGTCTCAGGTTGTGTAGTGCTACCACGCTCGTCTTCTTTGAATGAGTTTTGGGGTGACCGTAGACAAGAGGCCTAAAATACACGCAGCTTGCAATGCCCGCTTCGCGCCCGCATCCCCAAGGTTTGCGTGAGCTGTAGCCAGCTTGATTGAACCCAGTCTGCGGACCAGAGACCCAGGGGTCAGCCAGTGAGAGACAGGAGGAGTAAGCGCTTGAAGGTCACCGCCCCCCCGTGGCTCTGACTCCCTCCCTCCCTCCCTCGCTTTGAAAACTATGGCCCAGAGACCCACGGAACCCTTCACAGGAAGTCTGAGAATGCCAGGGTGCCCGGGCGCAGGCAAGCGGGGGAGGTGGGCCCCCGCAGCCCGGGGCGCTCTTCCAGGGAAGTGGCTGGGCTCAGGCTGCCAGCTTGGGAAACTGGAGAGTAGAGGGAGCCCCAGTCCCCAGAGGAGCCGCTGTCCGGGCTGCCCAGCTCCCCACAGGGCGGTGCGGGAGGGTCTGGCCCGTAGAAGCTGTGGTCCGCAATGCGCAGAGTTTGAGTCAGAGCCCAGATGTAATTGTGCGCGAAACGCAGCGTCTCGATCTTGGTGAGCTTCGCATCGTCCGGGAAGGTGGGCAGGACGCCGCGCAACGCGTCAAGCGCCGAGTTGAGGTTGTGCATCCGATTGCGCTCCCGATCGTTTGCCTTCTTGCGCCGACTCCGTCTCTGCTTGCTCAGCGCCAACTCGCTCTTTGGCCGGCTGCGCCCTCCTCGCCGTGCCCTGAGCTTCTTAGCTGCGCCTGGGCAGGCACCCGCTTCTGCCTCGGAGCAATTTCGGGGCATGCGAGTGGGGCTAGGTGGAGCGGACGCGGCGCAGGGCCCCACGTTATCGGAGACTCCAGGGAAGGGCTGCTGGATCTCGTGGGCCACTTGGATAGTGGGTGCACCCAAAGGATGAGGCGCCATCCTGTGGCGGGGTAAGAGAGAAGGGTGAGCTTGGGTCAATAGCCCGGGCAGTTCCCTATTCTAAGGTCAGGTGGGGCGGGGGTAAACCAGGATGAACAGCCCCCTCCGCAGGATCAAAGAGCCCCTTATCCCTTGCTGGCCCCTTGGCCGTCTCCGTTACCTAGTTTTCCTGGCGCAAAAGGTTAGAGAGCAGTGAACCTCAGAGAGCAGTGGGGAGCTGAGGTGGCCCGTTCGCTCCCAAGTTTTGCTGAGCTGCTGGCGCCACTGTCTGGGAGTTTCCTCAGGAGAAGAAAAGCTCCAAGGGGGTCCTGGACCTCGGTCGTTTCTCTCCTCACGGCGCAGAGACGGCAGGGATTCCCTGAACCACAAGTCGTGTGCCCCTTGGCACGCTTTATCTGCTAGGCCCGGGCCAGGAGCGTGCCTGCCGGGCTGCTGCCCGCGCCACCGGCCAATCAGCGCTGGGGTCCCGAGGCCGCGCCACGCGAGCCCGCTCCTCCCCCGCGGGGCACAGCTGGATTCCGGACAAAGGGCCGGGGTCGGGGGAGGGGAGCGCCGCTCTGTTTGCTCTCTCCTGCGGGCTCGGTCCCAGCAACTCTCGGTTCCTCAAAGAGCCTCGCCCAGTGAGAAGAACTTCGTCTGGCTCCCGTCTGGCGGCTTCAGACCGCTTTGCCCCTTCCCTGCTTTCCCTGGCATCTGTCCAAACGCAGTCTTGGTTCCCTATAGGGACTTTGGGGAGGCCCTAGGGAAGGCCAATCTCTGAGTATTACACACGGGACATTTAGACTCAGAGAAGAAGGTAGCTTGCTTCTCATCTGGCGTGATAGTTGCATAGGTAGAATAAGGAGCCAGGTGTGGTGTCCTGACTAGCAGCTCGGAGGAGCGCCCACTAATTCTAAATACCACCCGGCTCTTCTGCGCTATGGGTCAGGTTAGGAAGTACCCTTGGGACAGTGTTTCACCGACCCTCTCCATCCAGGGAGGAAGGACAGGAGTGACCTACGGGAGAAATCCTGCTTATGTCCCTTTAATTCAGAGACCTTCGCCTTGGGGTGTCCAAGCCCTTCCACAGTTAACTTGCCTGGAGATGTCAATCAGTGTCCAGACAGAGGCTTAGAATCCCACCCTATCCCCATACCAGATCCCATCCCAGAAGATGGTTGTGGTGGGGTTCTAGAGGGGCCATTCCAGCACTACCACTCATGGTTAGTATCCTGGCAAGCACTGAGGCCGGGGCATAGGTGGGGAGGTTTGAAAAGGTCAGGAGGGGGCCTGGAGTTCATAGCCAGCGTTTTGTCTTTTGAACCCCCAGGGTGCGCTGGTTCTGTAAGAGGCAAGTGAATCTACTCTTTCCCCCTTAGTCTTCTTGTCCAATCACAAGCGGGAAATGGGCTGCCAGCTTCACCTGGTCCTGCCCTCTGCTCGCCATCACTTAGGAATCGGGCAGCCAGCACAAGGCAAGGACTCTCCGAGGTCCCAGGTTTGCTCGTCTTAGCGCTGCCTGGAAACGTTTCCAAAGTGAGTCTGTCCTTTTTCTGCTGCCCCTCCCTCTTGTCCCCGCGTCGGACACCCCGTGGTCTTCTGCTTCCGGTCACTCAGGGTGAGGGGTTGCGGCTTCCGCTCCTCTCTCTTGTCCGGGATGTGCTTTGGGAAGGAAGCCGAGGTCGGGATTAAATCTCGGTTGCAGCAAAGTCTTCGCTTTCTAGCAGTTCCAGATACTCAGAGCCTCCCGGAAACTGCAGGAGGGGCCAGACCCCCGGGATGGGAGACTAAGGCAATGGGGCGAGGGAACGAGGTAGGTCTGCCCTAGTGATGGCCTTTCACTGCCCAGGCTGCTTGGGGGCAAAATTTTCTCCTAGGCATAGGATGATATGCATAGAAGCCAGCTAGAGGGAGCTCTAGGATTGGGTGGGGGTGGGGTCGAGGTCCTTCCTATCTCAGCCGTGAGCAGCGGGGGTCCCTTCCTGTTTCCGGGAAAATGAAGTCTGGGGTCAAGGTCAGGACCAACAAAGACTTTCCTGTGCATAGGATTCGGGCTTCACATTCTGTTGCAGCTCATTCCTTAGGCCGGGGACTAGCTACAAACTTGTCTTCTAGTTTTAAGAACCAAAGTGGAGACCTGCTTTACAGATGGAAAAGTCAAGGCCCAGAGAGGGAAAGTGACTTGCTCAAGGTCACACAATGTAATTCTGTTAAACCACATGGAATTCAGATCCTAAGACTCCTAGACCTAGATTTTCTCCCTGCACTTTTTTCCATGTCCTTGATTTGGAGGGAAATAAGAGACATTGAAATGCAGCAAATAGAGGATGTCCTGAGTCTGGCAGGAATGACAGGATTAGATAAGAAAAGGAATAATGGTCCAGTGTCCCTCCCAGTCAAGGAGAGCCAGCTCCACTTATGCTCCAGCTTTCCACTTTTCTGTCCCATGTCCTAGCCTTGCTTGATTTAGCCATCTTCAAATAAGGAACTGGGGAAGGATTCTCAAAGCATACTTCTATAGGGGTCCTGGGACCCTGTCAGGCTCTGTTGAGGGAGCCCTAGCTAGGAGGGATCCAAGTGCCCTGGTGGTTACCAGCAGGGGTCTGAAGAGCAACCCACAGAGACCCTCATCTAGAAGTGGATCTCAGATAGGGATGGAATCTGGCTGGCGCCTGCCTTGAAAGACAGAATACTCATCAGAGCCCAGAGCAAGCTTCATGAGCCAGGCAAAGTTCTGAGGATTCTAGCCAAGATGTCGATGGGTAGAGAATTCTGGGACCTGTTTGGAAATTCTTATCCAGACTCCTCAACACCCCTTTGGCTCAGGGCTCTCCAGGGCTTTCAGGCTGCCACGGCTCTTGCTTTGCGTAAAAAGCAGTCAGGGCCAGGAGCGCAGCTGCTCCAGCAGCGGCGCTTGAGGGACCAAAGGACACCCTACCAGCTCTTTCTCTGGCCAGGAAGCCGAGCTGGATGTCCACAAGCCTCGGGGGGGTTCGAGGTTAAGGGTCCATACCCTTTCTCTCAGCTGCAGGGGACTCACAGACCCCTCTCCAAAGTTAATTCCTGCATCGCAGAGTGCTGAGGCGCAGGCGGTAACTACGCCGATGCGCGCTGGTTGGGTTGGTAAAATCGCTCTTCCCATTGGGAACAGAATCTGTTCCCACAACCCCCAGTAATCCACAGCCTCTAAGGCCTTCAGGACCCCCGTACCCCTCGACCTTCTGAGACCTAGGCTTGCCTGGAGATTGAGGGGGTCTAGGAGAGAGGGACAGCCAGGCGCCTGGAGACCAAGGGCAGAGTGGAAAAGAAGGAAGGCAGCGGCTGGCCCTGCCGCCTTCCTGTGGGCGGGGGGAATCTTAGCATTGCCTGGGGGCTCTTTGAGAATGGGGTGAGGAGTAGGGGCCACGAGAAGCTGAATAGCTAATGGCTTGCCAGAGGAGGGGGCCTTCTTTCTCTCGCCTTCGCTTCGGCACTGAAAGAGGGGAAGACAAAAATCTGGCGAGCGAGCTGCCCGGGCCGAGACTGGCCACTTCAAACAGCCCTTCAAACAAAAGGAGAGGACGAAAAGAAAGCCCCACCTGTCTCCAGTGTTTGCTAAAATAATAATAAATAGATTTCGTTTAATAAATAATTACAAGAGATTGTAAAGTGGAGTGCTTTGGAAAACATCTACCGCGGGAGTCGGCGCAGCCAGCCGTCACCTGCTCCCAAGGCGGACAACTTTATTGTTAAGCCACCCCCCAACTAGTTCGCCTCTGATAAACTCTCCCTGGTTTTCACAATGACTGTTTACCCATAGTTAGCACAATATTACCTTTGCAGTGATAAACCCGGAGAGGGGAGACCTGGCCCCTGGCCCCTGGGCACACCTGTCCCAGAAGCTGACACATGGATTTGGCACCAAGCTGGCCTCCCCCCCGGGGGCCCTGCCCCCGTGTACATTGGCCCAATTGCCACTCATTTATAACAGGTTGGCTGCAAGGCCTATCTCGGTCCTATTTGTCTTCTTTTATTGAAAACATATGGTCTCCAGGGGCTCACTAGCCCCATATTTCATCTGCCAGGATCTGGGGCGCTTCCGCAGGCTGGTGCTGCCCAGCGCGCTGCTCCCCATTCAACGGCTGCTGTGCCAGCTGAGGGGACCACGGAGGTTGGGTGGGGAGCGATAAGGCGGGGTCTTCACCGTTTTTAGGAGAGAAGCCATTCCCTCGGTGATTCCCCCTCCCCAGGCTCAGGGACCTCGTGCGCTCTTGAATGGGTGGCTGGTTCTTTTTCTTGGGTAGGTGAGAGGGCGCCATATGCTACCCCCCAGGGCGCACGAGGGAGCTCTGGCCCAGGGAGTCTGAGAACAAAGGGTGGAGAGGGTCGGGACGCTCAGGAGCGCCCGAGGTCTTTATTTCCAGATCCCCCTCCCTGCCTAAGACCGCCTCCCAAGGGCGTCCGCAGCTCGCGCGCAGCGCCTGGAGACAAAGTGTTCACATTATTGCTGCCGGCGGCGGAGACGTGAATGCGTGAAAAGGTGCATTACGCACGAAGACACCTGTTGAAACGGCCCCTCTTCTCAGCGCCTCTCTCTGCTCTGCGCTGAGTCGGGAGCTGCGCGGGGAGTGGGGGGTGGGAAGAGGGAGAGATACTGTGATTTGTGGCGACATATGTTGAGCAGATCGGTGTGTGCTCTTCACAAGGACACATGCATCCTCGCTCCCATAGACACCCGCGAGAAGGAGCAGCTGCTCTCCTCACCTTCTCGCGACATAATACCTGGGCCAGAAGCTTTGGCCTCTCCTTTTGAGACTCTAGATCTCCCCCACCCCCTCTGTCTTCCGCTCCCACCCGCCGCCCCAATCTTGGCAGCTTTGCTGTGGGACTTTATTGTCAATTTTAACAGATGCACATTTGTTCCCGGCCCTGGCCTCAAGCACGCGCGTGCGCGCACACAAACACATACACACACACACACACACACACACACACACACACACACACACCCGCAAGCGTCCACAGAAAACGCAACTGATGGCACAGATGCGGAGCGCAAGAAGCCCATATGTCCCGCTTCGCGCCTGGTCTAGGCTGGGGAAATAAACAGCTTGTGTGATTTTCCCTCCCCAGAAAGAAATAAACAACGGAAGCCGGAGCGGAGGGAGGCCACCTCCAGAAGCCTCGAACTTGGTGCTTGATCTCTGGGGCGGTGGCACGCTGCGCCCGCAGCTAAGAGAGCGCTTGGCAGTGCACCCAAGACTGAGGGGAAGGAGGCTCCTGGGAAGAGCTGAGAGGGCCACGGGGTCCGGAGGTGCCCGCTGGACATTGCCTGACCTCCTGTCCTCGCTTGACTTCTGGGCTTCTGAACTCTGGAGAGGACCTTTTGGTCCTCCGGGGATTGCCAAAATTAGCGTGCAACCAGGAGCTGTAGGGGCGGTCCTGTACCCTGGGAAATAATTTCGCACACTTCTGCCCGCTAGTCTCCCTAGTCGGTTGTGTTTAAACTTTGGAGCTCGCTGTAGTGTCAAAATATGGTGGGAAGAGTGTGGTGTGTGTGTGGGCCTAGACAGGAGGCCGGCTCCGACACTTATACCTGTGCCATTGTGAGCAAGCAGAAATAGTTTCACCTCTATACGCCTCATTTTCCCATCTCGTCAAGGAGAAAGCTGTGTGTGCGTGCGTGTGTGTGTGTGTGTGTGTGTGTGTGTGTGTGTGTGTGGTAATGTAATTTTCTTTTTAGGTTTGCAAAATTCCAAGTCTTGGAATTTTGGGTCTTCCACTGTGAGTGAAGGAAACCCTCCTCCTCCTGCAACAGTCCCTGCCCCCCCCCCCATCTGAGTTTCTGGATAGTGAATCTTTTATCAGCCGTGGAAGTGCCAGGGCAGTGATGGTAGTGGGGAAAGGTAGGTTTGGCCCTGGAACCATTTAGAAACCATTCCCTGTGCTCTCCACCTTTTAGGGCTTGGGGCAAATGCAACTCTTGGGCTCAGTGACAGGTCAGGCAAGCCTGCGGTCATCAGCTTTTCAGAGCTTCCTGTCTTCCAGGGTTGTGGTGGAGCTGGGAATGTGGCTCTGTGTGGCTCTTGAGTCCCTTTCTCTCTCTGGGCCTGCCTGTTTCTGGAGAAGTATGCTGTCCACTGTCTGTGAGCTTGGATCAGTTCTCATTTCTAAAGTGAGGGGCAGTCTTCCTGGGCCTTAAACAAATTGTCTTTATTTATTGTGTGTGTGTGTGTGTGTGTGTGTGTGTGTGTGTATTTTCCTGAATGTATTCTCTACATTCTAAAGTCCATTGGCCCAAGGAAGGAGACATTGTCTTTTGGGAATGGCTCTTTAGAAGTCAGGCTTGTGGTGACAGATGAGTTCTCTGCCTGGCTGCTCCTCAGTTCTCCAACCTTGACTCCTTCTTACAACTCACCCTGTTGGGGAAAATGTTTAGGTAGCAGAGTGTGTCAGGATTGCTATGAGTTTGGAGGTGAAGGGGCTGGAGATATAGCTCAGTTGGTAGAGTGCTTGCCTTGCATGCAC